AGGCGTGGATGGCGGGGCAGTGGCTGGGCTTGGGGGTCTAGGGAGGACCAGCCTAGAGAGGTGCCTGCAGGTGGGGCGGAGACGTGCTGGCGGAGCTGTGGGCTGAATTCCCCCCTTAAGCACAAGCCTGGCGCCCCCGGCCCGGCCCTGCCGGGAAAGGGCGGGCAGGCCAGGCACTCACTGGGACACCTCCGCGATGTGCTTGTGGCGTAGGGTGATCCAGAGGTCGTCGTCCTCGTCCAGGAGAACCTCCTTCACCCGGGCCTCTCCAATGCCACTCGTCTCGTACCTGGGAAGGGGGGGGGCGTCATCGGCTGGGGGAACTGGCAGCGGGAGGAGGGGGAGAGCACCTGCCGCCTCCTGCTTCTGCCAGAGAGACCTGCAGCCGCTCCCCTCAGCTCTGTCAGCCCCTCCTCTGCCCCGGAGCAGAAAGAGGAGACAGACCGTGCATCTCGCGCCCGCGGGCCCTCAGGGCGCTGTACCGCTGCAGCCCACAGCAGCCTTGGCGAGGGCGGCTCTCTTCGGGGGGCAGGACTCGGTAGCACCAGCCTCAGGTTCTGGGTCTATGCGCTGGGGGCTGGTCCAGGCCCGCGAGCCCAGCTGCTACCACAGCACAGCCAGTAGCATGGCACATGACAGGAGTGGGCTAATACAGTCTCTAGCTGGTCTCAGCTGGCTCCAGGGAGCTTTGCGTCTCCTTGACCTGCTTGCACTCTGGAGCAGAACCAGAACTGGACCGGACTCTGGGGGATCCCCCATTCCAGGCTATTACTGTTGGGTTCAGCGAGGAATCGCTCCAGCCTAGTGCGAGGCCGGGGTGAGTGTCTGACTTTACAGGCTTCCCTCAAGCTACCTGACCGACTGGCTCTTCCACTCTTTAGAAGGAGCAAGAATAGTGACTAATATGCAACGGGGAAGATGCAGCAAAATTGTCTACAAATTACACCTCCCTCCACTCCACCCCCACTGTCATGGAGGCAGTGTGGGCTAGTAGTGAGAGCACCACACTAGGCTCAGGAGACCTCCGTGTTATTCCTGGCTCTACTGGTGCCCTAGAGCTACTTGTTTCATTTCCTACACTATCTTCCCTACTTTGGGTACGTCTAGACTACATGCCTCTGTCGCCAGACACATGTAGATTAGGCTACCAGGCATAGGAAAATGAAGTGGCGATTTAAATAATCGCCGCTTCATTTAAATTTACATGGCTGCCGCGCTGAGCCGACAAACAGCTGATCAGCTCAGCGCGGCAGCCATGTAAATTTAAATGAAGCGGCGATTATTTAAATCGCCACTTCATTTTCCTATGCCTGGTAGCCTAATCTACATGTGTCTGGCGACAGAGGCATGTAGTCTAGACGTACCCCTAGTCTGTAAACTCGTCAGGTCAGGAATACGCTCTCACTGTGTTTGTACAGCACCTGATGCTACGGGGACCTGATCGCAGCTAAGGTCTCTAGGAATCACCGTAATACAAATACTTACTATGACTAACAGTAGTTTGGGTTAGAAAAGGCCAATTTCCAACTGCTCTCTAGCTTGTATGCGCCTTAGTATGAAAACCGTGTGGTATTTGTTAACTGTTAGTATTTTTAAACGACATTCCCCTCAAGGTTGGAAATGTGCCGCTGCTCTTTAAAGGGCGTGGTGCTCCGAATATATTGCGCTTCTCAGCTGGAGGCCTTTCAGAGCGCTGCTCGTGGTACTTGTTCCACACAACTTTGTTAACCGTCCATCAATTAAGGCAGCCAAGGCAGAGGTAGGTTCAGGCCAAAGTACCCAGCCGTGACTTGGGAACTTGGGGCGACCGGTTGAGACGGAGCCTGTTTCCTAGGGATGCCAGACTCCTCACTTTAGGCCAAGCCACCGAGTTCTTCAGGACCCGTCAGGCTGGGACCTGGCGGAGCTGCAGGGATTAAGGGGCATTGTACGTTGCATCTCCCAGGCTATTGCCACCGTACTCACTTGTACACGTCGTTCTCGATGGGCAGCAGGTCGTAACTCATGGCCTGGAACGTGAGTTCATGCAGCACCGGGGAGGCGGGGTCAAAGCCACGGTCCAGAATGAGGAGCTGGGAGCGAGCTTTGTCAGGACCCTACCGACACACAGAGCAAGCCGTTGTCACTGCGGCAGGGGTGGAGTCTCCACGGATCAGCGGCATGAACATGGAAATCAGAGCTCGCTTCCTAAGCCGTGCTCCGGTTCAGGCGCATGCTCTTGGACGGGCTGGGCAGACCCTGCTCCCGAACACAGAGCTCGGCCTACGGCACGGCACGGTCCTTCCAGCCTAAGTTTTCATGCCCGAGCTGAAAGCAGCACCAGAAATGTTCCACTTTGGAAGCAAATGCCAAACTTCCCATTCAGGGTGGGCGCTGGCACCTGTTTGGAGCCAAATGTGCCGGTGCAGAGCAGGAGAGCAGGAGAGAGGCCACCAGGGAGCCTCTGCCAGAGCAACGCTCCCGGCCTCATGCTAAGGAACCCCAAGGACCAGCGAGCTCCGTGCTTAGAATCTTTGGGTGGGAAGAAACCTCAGGAATCGAGTCCAGCCCCTGCCCAAAGCAGGACCAATCCCAACTCAACCATCCCAGCCAGGACTTTGTCAAACCAGGACTTAAACACCTCGGCTACGTCTACACTGGCACCCTTTTCCGGAAATGCTTAAAACGGAACAGTTTTCCATTATAAGTATTTCCGGAAAAAGCGCGTCTACATTGGCAGGATGCTTTTCCGGAAAAGCACTTTTTCCGGAAAAGCGTCCGTGGTCAATCTAGACGCGCTTTTCCGCAAAAAAGCCCCGATCGTCATTTTCACAATCGGGGCTTTTTTGTGGAAAACACTACTGTTTCCAGAACAGTTTTAACTCACTCAAGAAAATACATCCATACAATCACAGAACCATAGAAGATCAGGACTGGAAGAGACCTCAGGAGTCATTGAGTCTAGCCCCTTGCCCAAAACAGGACCAACCCCAATTCAATCAACCCAGCCAGGGCTTGGTCAAGCCGAGACTGAAACACCTCTAGGGAGATTCCACCACCTCCCTAGGGAACCCATCCCAGTGCTTCCCCACCCGCCTAGGCAAAGAGTTTTTCCTAATATCCAACCTAGACCTCCCCCACTACAACTTGAGCCCAAGGCTTCTACTGTAAGAATGCCACCAGCAGGGGGCGCTGCGCACAGGCACAGCAGTAAGTGATCTGAGTCAGCGTCTGGGCTGGATTTATGGAACAAGGGCTCAATCCACGTTGAGGAAAGGCCAGGAAAAGCCAGTGCCCCGGGAAGGAAGCCATCCCTCCCACGAGGAGAACGTGACATACGCGTTCTGGGTTTGGCTCTGCTGCTGTCTATTTGTTTGACCAGGGCTGGGCACTTCACCTGTGTCTGCTTCCCCTCCCACGCCTTGACTGTCGTCTCTATAGACTGTAAGCGCATCGGGGCAGGGGCTGTCTCTTGCTGTGGGGTCTAGCACACTGCGACCCTCCTTTGTGGGCTTTTCGATGCTGCCCTAAGGCAAACGATTCTGACTGATCTAAGATGACAGTTTCTTCCTTCTGCTCGTCCCCCGACACGCCTGGTCCCACTGATGAGTGGCAGGCTCCTCCTACCGTGCGAGCATGCACCCGGACAGAGCCAAGGTAAAACACAAGTGAGTGCATCTGTGCTTTCAGCAGCCAGCCCCCTGCGGCCCGTGCTCACCTCGCCCATGGTTGGGTCGTCCGCCTTGTAGGCGTCCAGTTTGTCCTGGATGAGCTGGGCCAGCATGGCGTTGTCTTTGTAATCTCTAGCCGAGAAGGAGGGAAAGAAAGATGCAAAGTTCATTGAGTTCCTCATGCACCTCCCGGCCTACAATGAACGTCGATGAGGTGAGGGAGCTTGGAAAAAAACACCCCGAAAAGAAACCCAACCGCACGCAGGCAGATAACAGCCGCTTCTCCTTTCCAAGGGTTGTGGCGCTCCGGACCCATGTGGGAGCAGGGAGGAGCGTGGCTCTGTGGACCATCTCTCAGGTTCCTCACAGGGTCGCTCTCCATGTAAAACCCTGGGCTCCATGGAGAAGGAGGGCGCTGGCTGGGGCTCTCAGCAGGCCCGCGTAACACGCCTCTGTGGCGTTAGTCGACTTCATCGCCCCCCACCCCTGTTGGTGAGTACACACCGTCTTCTCGGCACCATCCTGCCCCACCTCTGAGCCCGTCTCCGCTGTGGGGGACTCTGCGCTCTCCCTCTTACGTTTCTGAGGCGCAGGGAGTGGGGTGGCGCTTGTGAGGGGACAGTGCATAGGGAAGGAAGGATTTTGAGCAGGGGCAGAGGGAAGCTCGCGGGAAGGAAGTGGACGTGAAGGACTCAGACAGGAGGAGAGAGGGGTACGCGGAGGAGAAGCCTCCAGTTCAGCCCCCACCCCACCCTACCCCCGGGCGCAGCCCTACCCTCTGTATCGCACGGCTGGGTATTCCTTCAGGGTGGCGCACAGGGTGGCTATCTGTTCTGCCAGGCGTTCCAGGATCGGGTTCTTCATCTGGGTCTTGTGGGGGCTGTAGAAGCTTTGGAAAGAGTCGGCAGAGTCCAAGGAGTAAACCTGGAGGGGATGGGAACGGCCGAGGTCGAGCTTAAATGTGAACGCCACGTAAGGAGAAGATCAGGCTACCTGCTCTCCCCTCTGACGATGGTGCCAAGCTCTTACGTAGCGAAGAGAAAAGGCAGGGGCCTCGGAGGTGCAGAAAGTTGCCTGCAGCCAAGCCGCCAGCCACGGGTAGGACTGGGAATCAGGCCATACCCACGCTGCCTCTCTCCCTAGCATCAGCTTCTCCATGTAAACACCCCTCCTGCACCAGCCAGCTCCCCCAGCCTGGCAGCGGCTGCAGGCCGGGCAGGAGAGGCAAAGCACAGCCGGGTCCTTTCCCCGAAGCACGAGATGCATGTTTCCAGCTGGCTCGGCGGGGAGGGGAAACCAGATCGTGCCTGCACCAAGGGGGCAGTCCAGCGACGCCTGTCCCAGCCAACTGCCCCGTGATAAGAAGGCGCCAAGTTCTACTGCCAGATGTGGGCAAAGGCTCATCTGCAGGCAGCACGTTGGCTAAGGCCAGCTAGGAAAATCCTTGCCTCGTTTGGGATTGGAAGAGTTAATGGCTCTGAAGGCTGACTGCCATCTGTTCCTAGTCACGTGGGCTGCCCCCAACAGGAGGGCTTGGTCGGCAGCAGATGGCACGAGGTTTGACCCCTCCTGTGCCCCGATGGTACCCAATGGCAGGCAGCAGCATGGGGTGGGGGTGGAGCGCAGGGATAGCACACAACAGGGGATCAGGCCTGAGAAATAATCAAAGGAGACAAGGCTGAGAGCGGGACAGGTGATGAAGAACCAACCCTGCGGGAAGGAGGCTAGTAACTTAATGTCTCATTTCAGGCTGCTCCGTAAACCCGCCTTCTCCCGGGAACGTGAGAACGAGCTACAGAGCAAATCTGATGGCGCCAAAGCCCCCAGCAAGTAAAACTGGACCGGTTGCCTTTCCAGCCCTCCCTGGCCACTCACCTGAGTCTCCGCACGGAGCAGCGCATGACGGGGCCCTGCGGGAAGGAGGCTAGTAACTTAATGTCTCATTTCAGGCTGCTCCGTAAACCCGCCTTCTCCCGGGAACGTGAGAACGAGCTACAGAGCAAATCTGATGGCGCCAAAGCCCCCAGCAAGTAAAACTGGACCGGTTGCCTTTCCAGCCCTCCCTGGCCACTCACCTGAGTCTCCGCACGGAGCAGCGCATGACGGGGCTGTGCTGGGACTCGTAGGGAAGGAAGGCAATGTTGATTTCCGTCAGGGTCTTGACGACTTTGGCCGTGCGAGATTTGACCAGTTCGTTGAACAGAGCATCGGGGCAGGCTGGCAAGAGGGAAGGAACCGAAACGTTCAGCAGAGGTTTCAGATCCCTGCACCAAAGGTCAAAACCCACCACGCAGGAATCGAACCTGCCCCAGTCAACCCAGGGGGTGGTGGCCTCGTTCCAGTGCTCAGAAGGCTCTCCGACTGTCCCGGCACACAGCACCATAGTACTGAGAATGTCTCCTGCCCCTTCCACGCCGGGATCTCCAAGCGCTTTCTGCGCATTGTTAGGGAATTTGGCTTCCCCGGGAAGCCTGGGCGGCCGGCAGTGTAGGCTAAGGCAGGCCCAGCTTTCCCCAAACTGCCTACACGCCCCAACTGCTGAAGGCTGGGGCCACCGGTGGGGAAGGCTGGGGGTGTTTTTTGCTCCCTGCCCACCGGGGAGGGCCAAGCCAGGCCCCTGCTTGGCAGTTCCAACCCTCTACATGGCCATAAAGGATCTGGCTGGGGTGGGCGGGGCTTGGCACCAGAGGCGGGGCTTGCCTTCCACGGCTGGGCTTTCACCCACCGCCCATGCTGTGACGTGCAAAGATGCCACGGCAAAGTGGGCCCTTGGAAGAACTATCCCCTGCCCGAACGCCCCGGCCTGATGGGGTCTGATCAGAAGGGAATGCCTGAGGGCGAAGGCTGAACACAGGAAATACAATGAAGCCTGACTGGAGTGCACGGTAGCTTCCCACAGGGGTTGCTGAAAGCGCCTTTGCATGAGTCATTTAGCTTAGACTAGACAGCGCTCTTGCACACGCTGGGGGCGGGGGGAACACGCTTGCCCTGCACGGGGGTGGACTGGGCTTGCTCACACAGCTTTCCCTCGCTCTGCTTTCTAGGAGTCTGGGGGGGATTTTACAAATCGCAGGCAGAGCTTCTCACAAACCTCCCGCGTGCGAGTCTCGCTCGTTTCCTGCCCCACTCCCGCTTCGCCTTTGCACTAGGGAAGCCGCAGCGAGTCGGGAGCCCGGACAACAAGACGGCGGAGGTGCGGGGGCAAGGACAAAGGCGGTGTACTTACAGTCGGTGAAGAAGACATGGGCTGCCCTGTACTTGGCAGTAGGGGCATCCTTGAAGTCGCTGATGAGTGAATGGACAGACTACAGGGGGGAAAGAAAGGAAACCCACATGAGGCTGGACACGGTAGGTAACGATTAGCATTTTCAGACACTTAGCCCAGCCAGTGTATGGCCGGGTCCCAATCATGAGACGCGTGCCATGTGCGGGAATCAGCTGGCTCTGACCCATTCGCTCAGGAGACAGGTATTCACACAGTCTCAACTCTGCGTTTCAGTCCGGCTTCTTCAGGAGCTGAAGGTGCTTTGGGGGCAGCATTAAGAAAAAGGATCTAGGCTCAGATTTCATGGTCCGGGCTGCATTTTGCATGGCTGTGAATTTGGTCAGGCCCTAAAGACTATCCTTAAAGCTGGATGGTAAAATGCAGCTGGAATCTTTGGCCACCAAAATCAAAACGCTTCACCAAACCATGTTGATTTCACCAAATATTCTGTTTTGGAGAAAACTGGGGGGGAAAATCCCCAAAAGGTTGAAACGTCCCATTTTTTGACACTGACAGGATGAAACATTTTTCATCATGTAACAACTTTCCATTCTGAGGAGGTTTTTTTAGTTTACATTGTACTGCAGGGTTTTGTTGAAATGAAATGTTTCAGCCAATCCAAAACTACTTTTTTTTTCTCTCAGCGTTTATTTTTGCGCAGCACTTTGATATTTGGGGGCTTCGTTCCAAATTGGAATGGGAAAAAATAGTCAAAATCCTGAACCCATGATACCAGCGACATGTTTTGTTAGCTGTTAAGGTGCGACTAGACTATTTGTTGTTTAAGTTTTTATAGGACACTGCCGTCCATTCTTACCCTGGCACTGACAAATACCCCATTCGCCACCGGCGCGGTGACCAAACATGACTAGCTTTCCCCAAACCCTGGTCCAAGACACGCCCATGCTGGAGAGTCACCTTATCAGACGGAGTGATGAGGTACACAGCCTCCAAGCTGGGCAGTGGCTCTCGGCGCTTGTTGATGTCTTCCACAACTGCTCAGGAAACACAACCAACACAAAAGGGGACACGGGTGACAGGCTGCCTCCTCTCCGTTGTCTAGAGCTATCTAGAGGGTACTAGAAGAGATCCCCAGTGTTGCTCAGGTTCTTAACTCAGTTAAGGAATTTTGCTGTTTGGGTGGGGTGGGGGTGAGGGGTTCAGTATGCTCCCTGCCCCGGGATGAGGACATATCCCAATCCTCTCTTACCTCAGGAGCTTGGGGCCAGGTGAGATGCGCCTCTCCATGGCTGCTGCAGCTCCAATGGGAACAGCTGGGGGCGGGGTGCACGTTCCCCAGCTGGGGCAGGTCCAGATTTGTCTGCCCCCTGCCCTCTCCAGCCAGAGAGGAACGCAGCAAACTGTGCACTTTCCCCTCGCTCCCTGATGAGGGGAACAGCCAGCAACATTCCCATATGAAGCGGGGGAGAGCTTCGCCCCCACCCCCACCCCGCCTGCCCTAAAGGGTGTCTTGAGGGGTGGAAAGTTTGGGGCTGGGGCAGTCCCGGAGGGTAGGAGAGACCCTTCACCTCCCTGGTGATTCTGTCTCTTTTCTGTACCATTTTCTGAGAAGCAATCCCCCTCCAGGCACATCCCACTGTCCTGGCACAACCAAACCCCAACCTTGCTTGAAGTTACGCTAAGAGGAAGCTGAATATTGAAGTTGGTGGCCCTAGGTCTTGCTGTTTAGGAACAGACGGACAAACTCCCTCAGATCGGTCGCAGATACATCCGTACCACTGGGGACCGGCAATCTCTTGTCCAAAACGTGCTTTTTGGTCACATCTAACAGCAAGCCCCAATGAAAAAAGAGGTGCGGTTCCACCGACTTTCCCACCCCAAACTAAAAGGTTCCCAGCCAGCTTGCTCTTACAGCGCCCCTAAAGGGGGAACAAAGGGACGGCACTCCAGAGGCAAGGGTGCGTATTGCTCCGTTCTGCAGGACAGCCAGTCCCCTAAAGCCCAGGGCTACGTCCAGACTACGTCCCTTTTTCGTAAAAGGGATGTAAATTAGACGTATCGCGATTGCTAATGAAGCGGGGATTTAAATTTCCCCCGCTTCATTAGCATAAAAATGGCTGCCGCTTTTTTTTCCGCACGGAGCTTTGCCAGAGAAAAGAGATGGGCTGACAGAAATGCTGCAGCTCATTCAGCATGAAATGGGGGAAGAAGATGCTCTTCCTGATCACCTGCCTCCCAGCACCAGCCGACCTTACAGGTTAAGCTAGAGTCTGAGGAGCAGAGTGGGAGCTTCTGAGGGCAGGTTAAGCTAGAGTCTGAGGAGCAGAATGGGAGCACCCAGGGGGCGTGGGGGACTGCAGAGTGGGAGCACCCGAGGGGGTTGCACTCACTTGTTATCCTTTCTGAAAGATCCCTTATCCCTATTTTACGTGGGGGACTGCAGAGTGGGAGCACCCGAGGGGGTTGCACTCACTTGTTATCCCCTCCGTCATGATGTCGGTCATTTTGCAGCAGGAAGAGAGCATGCGCATGCTGAGCTGATCCACCACCAGCACCTGGGAGGCGAGAGATTGAGCCCGTGGGCATTAGGGTGCACCGGGTGGAATTCGACGTGTCTGACAGCGCGTCCTCGACGGGGCCCAGCACGGCAAAGGGCCAACCCGCAGGCCTGTCCCCGCAGCCCTGCCAGCGCATCTCAGTGCCGACATGCAGCACAGCCAGCTTTCCCCAGAGCTATCGTCACGCCGGGCTCCACCCACGGGCGCTGCGTTGTCACAGAGCTCTGCCAATGGCCCCCCCGGTGCCCTGCAGGTACGCTAGGCAGGGGAAGGCATTGCCTTTCCAAACCACCACCCTGGAAAGGGACGTAGTCTAGACATAGCCCAGCTGTATTCTACAGACACGGTTCCCACCAGCACAGCTGGGAGACTGAAGAGGCCTCAAGAACCTTTTCTCTTTTTCTAGAAAGGGTTGATTGATTTTTTTTGAGATGGCTCTTTCCATGTTTAAGCTCTCTATATGATGATTATTCCCCTTGAATCGTAACGCGTGTGAAGGGTGCTCTGGAGCGTGGAGTCCTCTGTTCAGGCACAAAACTGTACTGCAGGCAGAAGTCCCAGCATCTCCCAAGTAACCCCCTCCTTATCCAGGAAAGGTTGCGTGGATGGGGCTGCACGTTGCGTGGGTGTGGGGTGTGGGGCTTACACCCGTGCATGACGGGTCGTGTCGGTCGTGGACAACCATTCTTACGGTGTGGCACCATGCTGGCGGGCTAACCACCAGCTGTGAAATGTTCCTCTTGGCCAGAATACCTTTGATGCATTCCATGCGCCCTCCATGATGATTCCTTCTGGGGCATCTGGCCTTGGCCACTGTCAGCAGACAGGATACAGGGCTAGATGGACCTTTGGTCTGACCCAGCGTGGCCGTTCTTATTATCAATGATTTCCCTTGGCCTCATGCCTACAGGTGCCCACTGGAGGGCAGGGCCGCTTTGTGCTAGGCACTGCACGTGCTGAGATGAAGACACAGTCTCTGCCCCAACTAGCTTACAATCTGTGCCATTCAGACTGGGCTGACCCTTCTCTCGTTGCTATCAGGGGGGCATTCCCATAACACCAGGATCTTGGTTTATCCCATACGCTCTACAGCTGGCTGGCATCCCCCGCTGTCTGAAATTCCAGTTCTGCTTTCACTTGCCCTGGCGTAAAACAGAGCAACCTGCACTGTAGGCAGTGGAGTTAGCCCTGGACTAAATTTGCTGTGAGAGAAAAAGCAGACCCCAGATCCAATGTTTGGCCACTGCAGCAGGGCTGTGTGCTGGGGCAATTGCCATGACAAACGGCATCTGTTGGTCAAACACCTGTAAACTGAATGGCTCCATGTTTGTGTGCTGCATTTTCCCCCTCTAGCTATTTTAATTCCACGGAGAGCCAATTCTGGGACGTCAGGTCTCCTTGTGGCATTTCCAGCTACCAGGGAGTGAAATAGCACAAAGAGGCCAGATCCTCATGCTAGCCAAGTTGTGTGAGTCATTCAGGGAAGCCTGTGGAAAAATCTCACTCCAAATCCCTAACCCCAAATATCTGGGAGGGATAGCTCAGTGGTTTGAGCATTGACCTGCTAATCCCAGGGTTGTGAGTTCAATCCTTGCAGAGGGGATTTTGGGCAAAAAATTGTCAGGGATGGTATTTGGTCCTGCTGTGAAGGCAGAGGAGTGGACTTGATGGTCCTTTCCAGTTCTCCATTAATTCTAAAAAAAATCCTGCAACTTGGACACCCAGCTGACTGGATTACCATGGATTACTGCCCTGCCCAGTGGGACAGACAGCAGCGCTGCCATGCCTGTATCCTTAGCCCAGTGAAAGAGAGACTCCCAATCTGTCTGCACCCTGGGTGGAAGGGATCGCACTGGCCTAGCCAGCCCAGTTCAGGTCACAGTGGCACTGGGGGGCGGGGGAGAAATGAAGCTCTCCAGCCATCAGCTGTACAGGGAAGTTTTTAGTGTGACTGGAGCTCCAAGAGACGCGATAGAGCCTGCTGAGCTCCAGTGGCAAAGTGCTGACCAGGAGAGATGGGCTGACAGAAGTGCTGCAGCTGATTCAGCATGAAATGGGGGAAGAAGGGAAGAAGATGCTCTCCCAGCCCAACTCTTCCCCATCACCTGCCTCCCAGCACCAGCCAACGTTACAGGTTAAGCTAGAGTCTGAGGAGCAGAGTGGGAGCTTCTGAGGGGTGGGGGACTGCAGAGTGGGAGCACCCGAGGGGGTTGCACTCACTTGTTATCCCCTCCGTCATGATGTCGGTCATTTTGCAGCAGGAAGAGAGCATGCGCATGCTGAGCTGATCCACCACCAGCACCTGGGAGGCGAGAGATTGAGCCCGTGGGCATTAGGGTGCACCGGGTGGAATTCGACGTGTCTGACAGCGCGTCCTCGACGGGGCCCAGCACGGCAAAGGGCCAACCCGCAGGCCTGTCCCCGCAGCCCTGCCAGCGCATCTCAGTGCCGACATGCAGCACAGCCAGCTTTCCCCAGAGCTATCGTCACGCCGGGCTCCACCCACGGGCGCTGCGTTGTCACAGAGCTCTGCCAATGGCCCCCCCGGTGCCCTGCAGGTACGCTAGGCAGGGGAAGGCATTGCCTTCCCAAACCACCACCCTGGCCCCGCCCACACTCCGCCCCCACAATGCCTACTGGGGGCAGAGTGCTGCTGCCACCTGTTGTCACAGAGCTCTGCCAATGGCCCCCCCGGTGCCCTGCAGGTACGCTAGGCAGGGGAAGGCATTGCCTTCCCAAACCACCACCCTGGCCCCGCCCACACTCCGCCCCCACAATGCCTACTGGGGGCGGGGCCCCCCTGCCACTTGGACCACACGCCACCTCACCTCCCTGTGGTGCTGGAGGGTGGGGCATGGGCCGAAGGGGTGGGGCCAGGGCCAGGGCATGGGCCGAAGGGGAATACCTTTGATGCATTCCATGCGCCCTCCATGATGATTCCTTCTGGGGCATCTGGCCTTGGCCACTGTCAGCAGACAGGATACAGGGCTAGATGGACCTTTGGTCTGACCCAGCGTGGCCGTTCTTATTATCAATGATTTCCCTTGGCCTCATGCCTACAGGTGCCCACTGGAGGGCAGGGCCGCTTTGTGCTAGGCACTGCACGTGCTGAGATGAAGACACAGTCTCTGCCCCAACTAGCTTACAATCTGTGCCATTCAGACTGGGCTGACCCTTCTCTCGTTGCTATCAGGGGGGCATTCCCATAACACCAGGATCTTGGTTTATCCCATACGCTCTACAGCTGGCTGGCATCCCCCGCTGTCTGAAATTCCAGTTCTGCTTTCACTTGCCCTGGCGTAAAACAGAGCAACCTGCACTGTAGGCAGTGGAGTTAGCCCTGGACTAAATTTGCTGTGAGAGAAAAAGCAGACCCCAGATCCAATGTTTGGCCACTGCAGCAGGGCTGTGTGCTGGGGCAATTGCCATGACAAACGGCATCTGTTGGTCAAACACCTGTAAACTGAATGGCTCCATGTTTGTGTGCTGCATTTTCCCCCTCTAGCTATTTTAATTCCACGGAGAGCCAATTCTGGGACGTCAGGTCTCCTTGTGGCATTTCCAGCTACCAGGGAGTGAAATAGCACAAAGAGGCCAGATCCTCATGCTAGCCAAGTTGTGTGAGTCATTCAGGGAAGCCTGTGGAAAAATCTCACTCCAAATCCCTAACCCCAAATATCTGGGAGGGATAGCTCAGTGGTTTGAGCATTGACCTGCTAATCCCAGGGTTGTGAGTTCAATCCTTGCAGAGGGGATTTTGGGCAAAAAATTGTCAGGGATGGTATTTGGTCCTGCTGTGAAGGCAGAGGAGTGGACTTGATGGTCCTTTCCAGTTCTCCATTAATTCTAAAAAAAATCCTGCAACTTGGACACCCAGCTGACTGGATTACCATGGATTACTGCCCTGCCCAGTGGGACAGACAGCAGCGCTGCCATGCCTGTATCCTTAGCCCAGTGAAAGAGAGACTCCCAATCTGTCTGCACCCTGGGTGGAAGGGATCGCACTGGCCTAGCCAGCCCAGTTCAGGTCACAGTGGCACTGGGGGGCGGGGGAGAAATGAAGCTCTCCAGCCATCAGCTGTACAGGGAAGTTTTTAGTGTGACTGGAGCTCCAAGAGACGCGATAGAGCCTGCTGAGCTCCAGTGGCAAAGTGCTGACCAGGAGAGATGGGCTGACAGAAGTGCTGCAGCTGATTCAGCATGAAATGGGGGAAGAAGGGAAGAAGATGCTCTCCCAGCCCAACTCTTCCCCATCACCTGCCTCCCAGCACCAGCCAACGTTACAGGTTAAGCTAGAGTCTGAGGAGCAGAGTGGGAGCTTCTGAGGGGTGGGGGACTGCAGAGTGGGAGCACCCGAGGGGGTTGCACTCACTTGTTATCCCCTCCGTCATGATGTCGGTCATTTTGCAGCAGGAAGAGAGCATGCGCATGCTGAGCTGATCCACCACCAGCACCTGGGAGGCGAGAGATTGAGCCCGTGGGCATTAGGGTGCACCGGGTGGAATTCGACGTGTCTGACAGCGCGTCCTCGACGGGGCCCAGCACGGCAAAGGGCCAACCCGCAGGCCTGTCCCCGCAGCCCTGCCAGCGCATCTCAGTGCCGACATGCAGCACAGCCAGCTTTCCCCAGAGCTATCGTCACGCCGGGCTCCACCCACGGGCGCTGCGTTGTCACAGAGCTCTGCCAATGGCCCCCCCGGTGCCCTGCAGGTACGCTAGGCAGGGGAAGGCATTGCCTTCCCAAACCACCACCCTGGCCCCGCCCACACTCCGCCCCCACAATGCCTACTGGGGGCAGAGTGCTGCTGCCACCTG